CTATGGATCAGGTTACACGTTTGGAACACTGTTATTTTAGCGGTTACGTTAAATACTGACCATCTCTACTAAACAGTGAAAAATGCTCGTATTATGCGCCGATTATAAGGATTACTGTTATTAAATCGAGCCTATTGCCAGGCAGAATTGAAATGGCAAACTTAATCAAACTTTGCCGAAACTCCGGAGACGTCTAGGTTTGATCCATCCGCGAAGGATAATTAAATTGTGGGGGTTTACGTCATGAGAAGATGGTATTTTGGAGTTCAAAAGTATCGGTTTGAAAGTTTTAACTTGCTATCGAAGTCTGGGGGAAATTTCAAGTTTCCCTAGTGCTGTGCATGAAGATAACGGAATGGCAAACACACTTTATTGGGAAGTTTCATACCCAAAATGTACTTCTGATGCCCGCCTGCACCTGTCTAGCTCCACCTAGTTAGATTAGGTGCTCCCACAGACGTCTATGTTGGACAAACACAATCATCATTTAGGCGAAAGATAACTTTTGTTTGTGCAGGTATTTCGTATTACAGCTCAATTATACTCTGTAATATCATGATATCTACGTGCTGGGCAAACAGAGCGGCACCATATAGAAACACGCGCTAATGAGGCAATTTGAGGCAATTTGTAGCCTCCACTTGAATGGACTTGACTGATCTTTTTGTGGACTTTCTACCAGCCTCTATTCGACCCGAAAAGTTACACTTGCAAACGGTGTTTTGAGAGTTAATCTCAGAAACCCTCTAAGAGATGGCAACCTGTTTTGCTGTTTCATTAGCTGCTCAGGTGTATTTCCTACAAATTATCAATATTTGATAATATTGATGCAAATTATCAATATATTCAAATTTTCCGCTGTCGTTTTTTAAAAAAAACGATTTTTTAGTGGAAAACACTTTGCTTTTCGAGTGAGTTTTTCCTCACTTGAGGCAGCCGATTTTCTCTTTCGAGTGATGTTATGGGCCGCATTCAGGAATTTTTGAAAAACTTCCAGAAATTTCCTATAAAAGTGAGTTTCCCAAAAAAATGTCAGCCAGGTAAGAGTGACAAAATGCGCTGCGATCTTCGACAAAACACAAACGAAAATGTTTCCGGATAAAACCTCCGCTGCATCGCACATTTTATTAAATGTACCAGGATTTATGAGCAAACTGATCAGATCTGGGTGGAAATTTGGATCACGTTTCAATTTAAAAAGTCAACAGCGGATCGTGGGTGGTAAAGATTTAAAATCCTTCTAATCCGTGTGGCTCGATCTAGGGAGAGTGAGAAAAAGGAAATTTGATCTGCCTAAAATTGCCGGTTTACTTGTTCCACGAGGCTGATTGACTTGGCTGTTTATTTTAATTGCCGCAATTCAATTAGAGTAATGATGGAAACTACAAAATGTATTTATTACTAGTAGAGGCAGGCGGTCGACGCATTTAATTTGCGACCAACTAACAATTGGGAGGTTCCTAAAGCAAAAATCTCGCCTACACAGTGATCCCACAGTTGGTATCAAGCAATCTGCACTTTACAACTTTACAAAGCAAAGTGAGGAATAATGCATAAACCGGGTTGCTGTATTATGCAGTTATGAAGTTTGTGCAGCTAAGGGTGGAACGCCCGACAACCGAAATTTAAATGTCCCTCATTTAATGACGCTCAATTCTCTCAGTTTTGGAATTAATGCTGATATTTTAGGGCTGTGAGGCAAAGAAAAATCTCAGCCAAAAAACCCGATTGCATAATTTTGATTTTTGGTCGAAAATTTCATAAGGGCCGATTTTTCCAAAAAATTCAAGTTCCTATTAATTAATTAATGCAACGAGCTAATTAAAAGACACCGGGGCCTTTCCAGTTCCCAAATAATCAACATTTTCTGTCTATTTTAAACGGTTTTTGAGCGGTCGCAATCTTCAACGGACGATATCTTCCTTATTATCGACCCACAACTTTCCTGTTCGCTATTGGGCAGCTTCTTAGGTCAGAAACAATCCAATAAGGGCAAAAAACACGATTGCAAAATTTTGGTTTTTGGTCGAAAATTTCATAAGGGCGTTCAAGTAAACCACTTCTGAAGATGCAAGCCACTCGTGCTTGCGAAACGTCAGGAAGAAATTCCATTTTACGAAGGCCTAAAAACCCACTAGTTTCAAGGAATGACCTCGAAAGTCTATCTCTGTTGATAAAACTTGATGTTTAAGTTAGACCGGGAAGGTCAATCGAATTGTCTAATCCTGCAATTTATTTGATTTGTGTTTAACTAGGAGCCAACCTTTTTTATAAGAGCCAATTTAATTGGTTGTGGGATTTAAATGCTTTTCCCGTTTTCTTCTGGGCGAGTTCGGCGACGCCATAATGCACACAGCAAATTTGTCTATACCTGTCCTTGTCGGTGCAGCCGCACAGTGCAATAAACAAAGCGAGACAAATTGATCGCTCCAGCTGCGTTTCTCTCGCGTTGGAATATGCCTGTTCTTGTCTGCAGCATTGCGTCAAATCGCCAAAGCGTTGCAAGGGCATTGCCAAACTGCTCTGGACTTGATTTTGGTTGCACTTTTACAGTTTTTTGGGCTGTTTTAGTTTTTTTGAAAAAAAATCAGCGTTCATTATTAAACGGTTTTTTTTTATTAAAGAAGCTATTATCACAAGTATGACCATTAAAGACCCATCGTTACAATTAAAATCCAGGCCATTCCATGAAACTTATGGGTTTTTAGGTTTTTGGTCGAAAATTTCATAAGGTAAGAGGTCGATTTTTCCAAAAAATTCAAGTTCCTCAAAATACCTCGAGTGATACATCATTTTCAACGGAAAGAGACAAGGAATGCAATGAGCTAATTAAAAGACACCCGAGCCTTTCCAGTTCCCAAATAATCAACGTAAAATTTTTGAAGCCAAAAATATTTTTTTCGCAGAAACTTAAGAGCAAATCGACTAGAATTTACTTTTTGGATCTCCAAGCAACTGAAGAAATACAACGTTTTTACCTTTCAAAGGCAGTTTAAGACGCCAGAAAGCTAACGAAGCCAGGAAGGTTTGAATCATAGGCCCAATTTACGGGCCAGTCAACTCTGTTTTATACCGCATTGAAGGGCATTTTTAGCCTTTCACCTATAATTTCTGCGCTAATGTCAACTTGCTGATGATTTTTCTCGATTTTTCATGTCTTAAATTCTTCCATGGAGCCTCGTCAGGAATAAATTAGCTTCCACGACAGAGTCTTTGAGGGTTTTCCTCATTTCGGCTTTTTAGGACCAGCAGAAAATCGCGATGTTTCACCTTTGCACTTCCCGATTAGAACAGTCGATTTTCACTCAATTGGTCTGCAAAAGCAAATTAATTTCCGTGCGCCCGAGCATTATTGGCGATAGGTTTTATTGTTGATTTAACGAGGGCATAAAATAAACTGGGCGATTTATTGCTCGACTACTATAAAGCTGCATTTGACAAACTTTTACGAATAGTTAAAGTATTAGCGCGAGCTTAAGTTGTCCTGTGAAACTTCACATTAAGTT